GTTATTTCGCCTCGTGTTATGTGTAGGCTTTGTTACTGTTTCCCAGCGCCACTTTAGGAACAGCACTGTTAATTAGAACCCAACAGTGAATGGTCGAGTGGGGAATCCTACCAAGGCATCAGAATTAATTTTAAATAATTAAATTAAATGAAAAAATCCCGGCCAACGGTGGGATTCGAACCTGAGACCTTCCGATCTCAAAGTCATGACTCTAACCACTGAGCCAACCCACCCCTACCCACGGTTTTATTTTTGTTTTTATTGTTGAATCTTCTTTCGAATATAGCATCTTCAAGAATTTTATTGAATTTTTCAAAAAATAAGTTAGTCGCTTTTTGTGGATCTTGACACTCATACAACTCATCCCAATTTACGTTTTTCATTTTATCGTTAACTAGTATTTCATTTATTTTAATAATTTCTATATAACGAGTTTTTTTAGCAGAGCAGCTATTGCAGGGTGTCCCAATGAAAAGTAGCCCATTTCCAGAGCTTATAACTTTTAAACACCTAATCGTAGAAACTTGCTGATATCTGTTGTTTTACTATAAGTTTTCCTTCAGTGACACAGCAATTATGTATTACCTATACAGGGTGTTTTTTAAAAATCTCCTCTTTTTAATTCACCGTAAAAAGATATAAGCTCTGGAAACGGGCTACTTTTCATTGGGACACCCTGTATTATTTATTATCTGTATGTTGAGATGTGATCAACCGTAGTTGACGAGTCCCCTTGTTCTTTGTGGGTAGTGATGCCGCGAGACGAGAGATTCTCGTCTCTCGTCTCGTCTTGTCTCGTCTCGAACGAGACGAGAAAGACATTTTCTCTCGAAAACAGATTCGAGACGAGACGAGAAAGTGTCATCTCTCGGCGAGAATTTGTCGTTTCTCTCGATCTCTCTCGGGCTCTCTCGAATAATTTTCTCTTTGCTTATTTGAAATTTTCAATTGCTTATCGTAACTTAACATTTTAACATATTAGATTTCGAGATAGTCAAAAAGTTAACTATAACACACCTATTCTATATATATTAAATGGTACTTGTGTTATTAGGATTTTATAAATAGTGATTTATAAGAAAAAATATTTCTCATTTCATTTATTTAAAATGTATACAATCATTTCTTATATTTAATCTATTCTGCTTTTCTGAGGTTACTTTTGAAGATAAGTTGAAAATTTTAAAGCGTTTTTCAAAAAACTGCCAAAGAAAAGGTAATACAAACAAATGTATTATATACAAATGGTACCCTCCTATATTTTAACTTCTATATGAAAAAGGATAATGACAAAAAAACGAGGTAAAACTCAAAAGATATTATATTTTTGCTATAACGAGATGCACTTTACTTGAGACATGTAAGGGAGTTACTAGCTTTAAATTTTCTAATGGAAAGTAGGGTCATGTGATACCTCATTTGAAAGATATTTTGTATATTTTTACGTTCATGTAAACAGATTTAGGTTTTTATGTTTTTACAGAAATTACATTAAATAAATTCATAAAGTAGGTTAAATTCTTTTTTTTATTCACCGCTTGAACCTCTAAGGATCATTACCGGAGGTATAAAACCTTATAAATGATGTTTTTTACAATAGTATACAATGGATAATTAACATTTTGGTTAGTACAGAGTAAATAACAGTATCTTTTATAAATTTAAGTAATTTTTTACTGTTAGAGGGATTTAACACTGCACAAATGACAATTTTTTGTAGCTGGTACTTTCTTCTTATACAAACATGTTCTGGGCCTTTACTAATAAGTTAGATTCTTGATAACTCTCGTATTAACAATTATTGTTTATTACTAAGGAAACGCTTCTTGTATTTACTAAAATAAATAAATTAAGAATATCAAAGGTGATTTAAAAACCACTTGACGTATTAAATTTTTCATAATTTCTTGGCAAAAAAAAGCTTATTAAAAAATTATCTTCTAACATTATCTAACATTTCTAGGATTATTGCGACACACAAGGATTATCAAGAAAGTAATTTTTGTAAAAACAAAAAAAAATTAAAACTGTTTGCTTCGACGTTAATATATTTAAAATATCTTTCATGACTCTACTTTCCATTAGAAAATTTAAAGATAGTAACGCCCTCTATTTTACGTCTCAAGTAAAGTGCATCTCATTATAACAAAAATATCATAATGTTTCTCCAATTTCACTTCGTTTTTGTTTTATGTTTCTATCTTCTTGTATTTTGAAAAAATACTACAAAATGCTTTCATTTGACATCGCAGGATTGCATTAAAAATATTCTAACTTCCAATTTAACCCCTTCCCCCCTCCCCAACTGACTTACAAGACAAAGTATTTTCGTTATTAGTTAATGTCTAATCTGGGCCACTTAATACTTCAAATTTCAATTGTAAAACGACTGTGACAGACGAACAGACAGAGAGACATAAGTGTTTCTTATTGCCAAATTTGGGTACTAATGCGCAAATTACTTGAAACATTCTTTGTTTTTGTCTTACAAATTTTGATATTGTTTTATCACGAGAGAAACGAGACGAGACGAGACGAGACGAGACGAGACGAGACGAGACGAGACGAGACGAGACGAGACGAGACGAGACGAGACGAGACGAGACGAGACGAGACGAGACGAGACGAGACGAGACGAGACGAGACGAGACGAGACGAGACGAGACGAGACGAGACGAGACGAGACGAGACGAGACGAGACGAGACGAGACGAGACGAGACGAGACGAGACGAGACAAGACGAGGGAAAGGCCCTCTTGAGAGAGAGAGAAGCGCCTTCTCGTCGAGACGAGAGAACAGTTTTCTCTCGCCCTACGAGACGAGAGAGGCCACTTTCTCGTCTCGTCTTGTCTCGCGGCATCACTACTTGTGTGTACATTTATTTAATGAAGAAAACCATATTCACTTATCCCATTTTTAGAGATTATTGGTTCTATGGTGGTATAATTTTTGGGATTAATATTAATGTTTATACACTATTGAAATGTCATTGTAAACTAAAGTTGTAAGATCATTTTCAAAATCGTTTATGGATAATTTTTCATTAGTTGGTTTAGGTCTTTAGATTCCTGTCATATTTATTTTAGTTTTATTAAACTCTAATTTACATTCTAGCATGTTCACTTCATCTAAAGATACGTTTTTTACGTCTAGCGCTATTTCTTCTCTAATGTTCTCACCATCCCATCATATTTATTATATGTTGCCTCATTATAATAGACTGATAAATCCTTAATTTTAAAATAAGAAAGACCATCCACGTTTCAGTTTATTAAGTTTCCCAAGTATTACAAAAAAATCATCAAAATTTACTCTAAAATGTCTAAATATTATAATGCAATATTGTAAAAATTTTAGATTCATAACCTTCAAGAAAATCATCACATTCTACATTTCTTATTATAATTATCATAAATATCAAATGCTACATTAATATTATGCATTTAAATAATATTTTAAAAATTCTTAATATGATAACGAAAAACACAGACTTTGTCAAACTAGGAGGTTTAGATGACAAAATGAACGAAGCAAAGAGCAAAGACAGCTTTTAGATATCCGACGAAGGAGACCGAGCGTACATAGGTCAACATTTTTTCAAAGAGGGTTGTGATCAACGGGCTGTTTGCATTTGACTTATGCAGATATCTAAAGAATTTCCTAAAAATGGAGTGAAAAAAAGGAGCTTCGATTTTCCTTGTTTGTTTTTTTCAAGCTTTGGTTCGCTGTGTCGTAAAAATATCTTTTTAAATTGATTTTCAATGTCAAAATTATTTAAATTTAGTTAAGACTGCATGGAGATAATTTTAAATTAATTAATTATAATATTTGTACTGGGAACAGCCATCTGTTGGTAGTGAAGGGTACAGGTGAAGTAAAGAAAAAAAGTCCTTTAAATCTCACAGAATTTCTTTTCTCGCAAGAATTTTTTGAATATATAGATTTATAATCATAAAAAGAATCATACAAAATTTTATCAAATATTAATTTAATAATGTAGGATATGCTTTTAAACGTGCTGTAAAGAAGAACGGCGTGGTATAGCAACTGTAAAAATTGTTTCGCCCTTCAAAGGGAATCCTAAAGGTCGGTTCTATTAAGAGTAAATCATTTATGAAAGGCCTTGGAAGAGTAGGTTAGCCGTTGGCGAATTTTGTTGAAAATTTAATGCCTGTAGCTGACCGCCTGAAGAGCAATTTCCACTATTGATACCGACCAACGTAAATTTGGAAAAGGTGTTAACGCAATTTTCTAAGTTAACATTTATTTTGTCCTGGGAGACTATTTTAAAAGGATATGATGAATATTTTAACACAGCAGAAAACAGTTTTTTTTTGTATATTAACACGACCCTCCAAATTTGTGAATATTTCCCGATAGAAATCGATGAGACGGTGCTAAAAGAAACTTTTAAAATATTCAAGATGTTTCTTTTTGGCAGTTTTTGTTTCTTTTTCAAAAATTAATAATTCCAAATTAAAAACTGATCAAGGAACATGAATAGCAATTGGAAAATATCTGGCCCTTAGCAACAATATCACTTTTGCCAGATATGTAGTAACTTCTTTTAAAAGTTTCCCATTAATTATAATAGGAGAATAGCCAAATATGGAATATGTTTCTAAAATGTAATACCTTTAAATTATTTTTACAAGCTTTGGCAACGTCGAAAGTAGTTGTAAATATTGTGAACTTTATAAAGTCAAATGAATTGAACCACAGAATCTTTCAGGAGTTTTTGAAAGAACTCATATCTCAATACGAAGATGTACTTTACCATACAGAAGTAAGGTGATTAAGCAAAGGTAAAGTTTTGGAAAGATTCTTCAAAATACGTCATGAGATCACTCTATTTTCGGCTACTAAGAAAATAGAGTACTTACCTTGAAGTTTATGACTTTGATTGGTGGTTAAAAGTAGCGTTCCTTACTGATACAATGGCCATTGTAAATGAAACACTGAACCAATTGCAAGGAGATCAGAACAAAATTGTTACGAAAATGATGAGTATTGTATTTTCTCAAGAAGAAAAATTCAGTATGTACATTGAAGAACTATCAAACAATGATTTTTCTAGTTTTTCTTCTGTTCAATCTCTTTTTGAAGAAAACCCTAATGAAAGGAAATATGTTTCTGCTTTGATAAAACTCCTTACCGATCTGAAACACGAAATGTCTGAGAGGTTTAGTGACTTCAGAATGTATCAAGAACCATTTCGTTTAATAGAAAATCCATGGGCATTAACAATTGCCTATGTTGCAAAACTCGCTATTTTTGGATACGAAGCCAGAGACTTAAAAACGAGCTAATTGATCTTCAGCAAGATACAGAGCTGAAAACCATGTTTGATAAAAATAAGGATAAAAGTTATTTTGAGTTGACTTAGTTGACTGTGCACAAAAACTTTTATGTATTTTTGCATCAACATATGTGTTTGAATCTACGTTCAGCAAGTTAAAGTTCATAAAAACAAGTACAGATCCATGCTTACCAATGAGAATGTTGACAACATTTTAAGAGATACGACTGCCTCACCACCTGCCAACATTAAAGCCATTTTGCAGAACGCCGAGAGATTCCGGCCATCCATCTCAAAGACGTTATTGTGTATAAATGACAAATAAAAATCTTGCTGTTTACTTTTCTATTATGTATATTTCTGGATTTTTTAAATGTAATAAACATATATTCTTAATTTTTAATGTTTATAATTTACCTATTTTACCATAGTACCTGCAGTAAAAAAAGGTAAACAAGTATTAGTTTAATTCAGTAATATAATTAAAAAACAAAAATAAAAGAAAAATAAATTTTACTAGTAAAAAAACTCTTTAAGTGAAAAAAACAGTTGTATTGTATTGCAAAGTTATTAAAAACGTTTATATTTAATTTCTGATTAATTAATAATTTAAGTTGAAGTTGCGGCCCTCACAATAATTTACTATCAGCATAATGGCTCACTAAAAAATTCTAGTGAGGACCTCTGATTTGGAGTACACTTTACAATTGTACTGCATAGCTCTGCATAGTGTTTTCTTGTCATTAAGATTTTTACAGGTTTAAAGTACATTTTATTGATAGTAATTAATATTTTATATGGCTTGTCCTGTAGAGCGGGCGAATAAAATGACTTCACCCAGACATTTACCGACGTGAAGCCCTTCAAATGGCCTGCAAGACTTTGACGATCTGAGAAGATGGATGTCTGTAGACACCACTCAGCGTCAACCTGCAGGTTTTTGAGGAGTTATTAATCTGCAGAACTTTGATGAGTTGAAAAGATGGCTGTTTGTAGACACCCCTCAACGTCAACCAGCAGGTTTTTGACGAGTTGATAACCTGCAGAACTTTGATGAGCTGGGAAGATGCGGCTGTTTCTAGACACCTCTCAGCGACAACCAGCAGGTTTTGACTAGTTGAGAATGCACAATGGGCATTATGAAGCCTAAGTGCTGTGGAGGAACCCACCTTCCCCACAGATAGATATTTTATATTGTTAATTGAAACTAGTATAGGATATTAGAAGCTCTATTTAAAAAAAAAATTCATGGTCCTATTTATAATAACTAATAATAAGGCAGCAATTTATAAAATTAATTTTATTCAGTAATCAAGAAAACTTTGTTCTGTATAATTAACAATAATAATTATAATAAGCATCGATGTTTTTTATCTTTTATGGCTTAGGTATTCACCTAATATGCCAGTTTCAGTTTGTGATTTAATTTTTATTAATATATGTTTTGTGAAGGCTTTGTTACTGTTTCCTACTTATAAAATTATTTAGATCTTTTAATAGTATTTGACTATATAGAAACTCAACTTTATAACACAAAAAACTATGTTTTTAAAACACCTAACATAATACCGTGTCTTGAAGTAAAATAGATTTTTCTTTTTTTTTTGTTTCTAAATATTCAAATTCTGAAATTTTATTTTAAAACACATTTGGACCAAAACGGTTCTATTCAGTGAACACTTGGAAAGGCTAGAGCAGGTTTTCGTAGTCCTATTTTAATATGGGTGAGCAATCTCTATAACGATATGTATGAATGAATGAATGAAATATTTATTTAAAAAACCAAAAGAATACAAAATTCCATAGAGGTTTTGCCTCTTCACAAATATTATGCTATAGAAAAATGTATACATATACGTCTCAAAACAGAGACACGTCAAAATATAATTTAAAATAAAAAATTACTTAACAAATATACAATAAAAAAATAAAATAACATAAAATAAAAATAATTTAGTCAAGTGAAAACATATTTTATACAATCATAACAATAATAATAATAATAATAATATTAATAATAATAATAATAATAATAATGGGGTAAATATAGAGGTGTTCTTATAGTAAAATATATTGTTTTAATTTTTTTTTAAAGGTTAATACAGGATGGGTTTTTAATTCGTTTGGAAGATTATTATAAAGTGTCACTCCTTTGTAACAAATCGAGTTCTTTAAAGTATTTGATCTTATTGTTGGGAGTTGTATGTCATTATTGTTACGTGTATTATATGTATGAATGTCTTTTTTAGAGTTAAGTACAATACGAGAATGTTTCTTTTGATGTATAATACTGTGAATATAAGTACATACTTGAAATGTATATAATTGTTCCAGATTAAATATTTCAAAGTCTTTATATAATTTTTGACTACTATATAGTTTAGGAAGTGAATAAATATTTTTTATAGCTTTATTTTGAAGAACTTTAAGGGGTCTGACATACTTTTCACAAGTTGCAAACCAAATAAGGTTTAGATATTGTAAGTGACAATGAATGAGTGAGAAATACATAGAACGTAGCAAATACTTTGGAACATTATTATTCAGTCTCCTTAATATTCCTGCGGGTGCCGCAAGTTTGTTTTTTAATTTGTTTATGTGTGTTTGCCAACAAAGCGTTTGATCAATATACGAACCAAGGTACTTTATTTATTCGGAAGATTTTAAAAAGTCTTTGCCAAAGTACAGTGGATGATTATAATCATTTGTTGGTTTAGAGATTATAATATATGAAGATTTAACTACATTTAGTGTTAATTTGTGAGCAATCATCCACTGAGATAACAAAGACAAATCATCCCTTATCTCCGCAATCATCTCTTCTAACGATTCACCAAAATAAAGCACGGTACTATCATCTGTCCTTTAAATTTAACATTGGACAGTGAGTTAATATAGATGAGAAACAAAGTTGGGCCCAAAATTGAACGTTGAGGTACCCCACATGAGATGTGTTGTTCAGAACTTTTTATCCCATCCATAGAAACACACTGTCTACGGTCATTTAAGTAATTTCTAAACCACTCCAAACAATTATCTTTAATTCCTATTCTCTTAAGCTTTTCTAAGAGAATATTATGGTTTACTGTATCAAATGCCTTGCATAGGTCAAGTGACACAATGACACATTTTTTATTTTTATCTATATTTTCTTGAATGTTAGTTATCATATCTATTGCAGCTGAGGAAGTGTCACTTGACTTACGGAAGCCATATTGATATTTATAAAGATAGTTTACATTAGTTAAGAAATCACTGAGTTGAGAATTCACAATCTTTTCAAAAATTTTAGATATTATAGATAAAACAGATATAGGTCTATAATTGTTAAGCAAACCTTTGTTACCTCCTTTAAATAGGGGTGTTACCCTTGCCACTTTAACCGCACTTGGAACCACTCCACTGTTTAGGGACATGTTAATGATTTTGTGCAAGACACTTGCAATTTCACTTTTACACTCTTTTACGGTTTTCACATCCACATCATCAACACCTGTAGCTTTGTTGGAGTTCATCTCACTAATGATGTTATTGACTTCAGATAGAGTAGTAGGAACAAATGAAAATGTTTCGGGTATTGTTTCATTTGCAGCATCTATAGAAGAAAATGGAATATTTTTTGCCAAGTTCGTTCCAACATTGACAAAAAAGTTATTAAAATGTTCGCCAATTTGACTTTTATTTTTTATGTCTATATTATTCACCTTAATTGAGGAGATTTGGTCTTTAGCTCTCGATTTATTGGTTAATATTTGATTTATTATCTTCCATGTTTTTTTACCATTACCGTTTGCTTGATTGAATTGATTTTCATAGTAAGAGTTTTTTGCTTTTTTTATTTTTATCTTTACCTCTTTTATACACTCCCGGTGTTTAACTTTAAAATATTCAACAGTTGGGCACTTTTTCATTTTTCTAAAATAGCAGTCTCTTGTAGTTATCGCATGCGATACAGTGTCATCAAACCAAGGTTGTGAGTTTTCTCTGATTCTTATGGTTTTAGTCGTGTAGGTAGTTGAATTATTAAAACAGTTTATGAAAGTATTATATGCTTCATCAACATCTAGGGGTCGATTGTGTTCAAGCTCACGAAGCGCCGTTTTGACTTCGCCATAATTTACATAACGTTTGTGAAATGTACGTAGTATTTTACTGTTTGACTCATTTGCAATGGTTAAAATTTGAAAATCATGGTCAACGAGACAGTTGGTTATAATTCCCAAAGATTCAACAACTCCCGGAGTATTTGTTAGCACATGATCTATTAGAGTTTTTGAATTTCGTGTAGGAATACTTTTATTGCAAAAGTCAAAACCATTGTGAGAACATACACTTTTATATAATTCAGTATTCTGACTGTTTACCAATAAATCAATGTTTAGATCTCCTATTACTATTGCTTTGGTGTTGCCCAAAGCATTGAGATCATCTTCCAGTAAATCAAGTGTAACCTCAATGTCTTCATTTGAACTACTTGGGTTATATATGGCAGCAAGATGTATTTTAGCTGATTCTATATATACTCTAGCATAGGTGACATTGCCTTTTTCTATTATTTTTTCAACATTATGGTTTAGGCCATTTTTAATGTATATACCACAGCCACCCCTTCTTTTTATTCTAGAAGAATATACACTGGTATAAGAGGGTATATTGAAAAACTTCTCTTCATCTTTTTTTACCCAGGTTTCTGTCGCTACAATAATATCTATATTTGTATTAATGGTTTTAAGTGTAACTTCTAGTTCATCGATTTTGTTTTTTATAGACTGAGCATTTAAATATAATATAGTTAAATTACCCAATTTCTGAAATTTGTTATTAAATTCTTTAATATTGCTATATTTATTAACCATAGTACCTACATCAACTGTAGAAGCCATTAAAAAAAAATCTTAGTTATTACCTTATTTATTGTTGTTTCATATGTCCTTACATAGCTGTCAGTTCACTTATCTTATTTTCACTTGTTATTCTTATGATAGGTCCATCATCAGTTTTTCTGCAGAA